GATTCTGACCCTGACTGAAGGGTGCTGAGGGTGCTGAGGGTGCTGAGGGCTAGCACTGTGGGGGACATCATAGTGCCATCCAGCGAAGAAAAGGGCACTGCTCACAGCCAGGCCTTGGAGCAAGTGATCGAGGAAAAGAAGATGGGTTTCAAGCTCGACATCAGATTCTAGAGATCTCAGCTGAGCAGAGCCTCAAAAGTCAACTCCAAGCGGATGCGGAGGGACAGTCTGCTTGCTCCTGAGTGTGCGAGACCTACATGTTTAATATTGTTTAATTAAAGTTTAATCTTGATCATCTTCGATTGATCTAGAGCACCTGCGACTTGTGAGATGCCCTGCACGGTTTGTCTTTTTTGATTCAAAGATAGATTGGGAATTTCGACCTAGAATGGCGATCGCAAAGATTTTTGTGTCCCAAAAAATCAACAAAAAACCATTCCCAATCTGTGGTTTATTATGGGGTATGCGGCCTAGTTGATATAATGGCGCCCAAATGGTTCGAATCGGGAGGTTTTTTTTACTGGATGCCACAAGTGGGAAAAAAGAAGTATTGACACGCATATGTGGGGCCAAACAACAGAAAACACACGAAGGGTTTTGAACTGCGTGATTTCAAAATCTTACACCAGTACAGTAATTATATAGTATATAGTAGGGTTGTTGAGGATGAATTTAAAAAGTCTTGTTCACAAAAACCCTGCTAGAACTATATGGGGGTTTCCTAAAATAGGGGTACCCCCAGTTATCATCCATTTCTAGATGGGACTTTCCATGAAATAAACCATCCAGCGTTTTTGGTAGCTCCATAGCAATGGAAACCTCCATAGCAATGGACTGCTTTGTTACCTTCAGGATCATGAGGACATTCCGAAGTCGACACAGACATGACAGCCACTGACTGCGTTTGGTTTTGCAATAGAATGTATTTTTTTAAAGTTTCTATGTTGGTTGCACAAAAATAGCAGTTGACATTTTTGAATACGACCTGCAAGGCTGCAAGACAGATCTTCCAAGATCAGACGTGTCCCCTTTGAAACATCGACATCTTTCCATTTCTTGGGATCTGACAACGGGACATTCCCGCAAGCTCGGCACAACAGCAGAAACCACAGCACTTCCCGCCCTTCCCTGGCATGGCTGATATGGATGAGAATCTTGGAGATGTGGTGAGATTCTGTTGTCGCCATATCCAGCTGTTGGAACAGATGAAACACGACTTCGAGTCACTGTACTTTCTGCATGATATCATCTACAGATATCTAATGATGGATGTCCCAGCAACTGTTGGGCTCGCGAGATGAGTATCTAAGCTTGTACTCCTGAGTTGGTAGTGACCATAGTTTCTAGTCACTTTTTGGAGTTACCATGGTCACCCAGCATTGCGGGCCTTCTAAACGAGTGACAGGATTTAGATGCCCCAAATATCCAGTGTCTCAAGAGTTGCTAGGTGTTTTTTTTTTTGCACTTCAAGTTTCAAGGGAAGTCAACCTGGAAGATTGACTATCGACGATGTTCCATGAGTCAACGTGGCCATGTCAGAAAAACCACCGCTCAACCAAAAGCGACCTAGGATATGGTCGGAGATGCAGCAGAAAACCAAGAGCTTTGCAAAGACCAAGGCATTGGGGATTTAACCAACAATGGGGATATAATGGAGAGGACATACCGGTATACTGTATAATTGTATAATACATATATTATATCATAATTATCATCTATGGTCTATGGAGGGCGGGCCAGACCACGAGGCCCCGGAGGTAGTATGAAATACCAGTTCGTATATTTAAATGCAGTTACGGTATGTTACGGTATATTTAAATGAACTGGATTCCTTATGTTTAAGTGGCCGGGCGGGCCAAGGAAAACCTTCCCAGAGGTAGTCAACAATACCTGTTCGTATATTCAAAAGTCCGTATATTTAAATGTAGTTACCGTATATATATATATACACCAGTAGTGACAGGGTTTCAATAGGACTTTGTTCCAATGGTACCATATGGATCAAAACCGGTGCATATTTGATGGGGATTTAACCAACAAAATTGGTGGTATAATGGAATAGAGGACATACCGGTATACTGTATGATTGTATAATGCATATATCATATATTGTCTATATAATTTTATATTTATGTAACCGTCAATATGATGATTTGGGGGAATGACCACCTTAATTCCCAGCTGTTTTGGTGAGAACAGGAGGGTTTTGACGGGTTTTGACCCATAACCATAATATAGTTGCGGGTGGTTTTGCCTCCATTCAACTTGTTCTCACCCCATGGAACCGCTATAGCACTGCTCAGGACCATCACTGTGGCGTATCCAACAAGAATCTAAGGCAACAAAGGATTGTGGGGTTGCCCTTGCCCAGGAAATTTATGGTGAATTCACCACATCAATCACCAAGAAGCCAGTGAAAAGATTGGATAGCAAGGAAGCGATGGTTGAAAGTCCAGGATGCGCCATTCGGGTCTTTCCATGGTGAGAATTTGTTCTTGTGCTTCTGGATCTTCTGGGAGCGGACAATACCTTTATACAACTGAATACAGCGTAATTACACAATTATCATCCCTTCAACCAATATATACATATATATATATATATTACTATATATGTATCTACATGTATATAAATGTATTTGAATATTTCTGTTAGCAAACGTATATTATATATATAGTTTCCCACATGCCATCAAAATCAATTACCCCAATGTGGATAAACGTGATGGCTTAAAACATGTAAATGTATGTATATCTACATAAATATATAGATAGGTCTGGTGGACGACTTTTGATGACCATCACAATGGTCCCCCTAGAGTGTGGTGCGCCAGAGGCATGCGAAAACCCAAACCCGGCTGTTGCTGAGCGCGCCGTTTGCTGTTTGATCGCCACAGCGGGCGACCGTTGCTCGTCGCTGAGAAAAAAGGGTTGCACCGGTTGCAGTGGATGCGGACCTTGCGTTTCATGTCATTTTTTTCCAAGCGATTCCGTGCTTTGGGATGCCCAAATTGGGCAGCACTTTTGATGCGATACTTTGAGAGTCCTTATTGGGAAATCAAACCCGGCTGATGCCACGGGCCGGCCCAACAAGTTCTGAGGACCTCACTAGAGTGAAACCTTCCGAAGGCCTCCCAAACGTATCTTGGGGATCAACAAACATCGTACATCGTGCTGTCCGTTTGAGGATGGTTTTGGGTTTGAGGACTTTGGCAAGAAGTCGCAGAAATGATACGGATTCATTTGTTCAGTATTTGAGGGACCCGAACAAACGACTCTCAGTTGGGCCTTCTTTGCGACTTGTTGCAGTTTGCAGCTCCAAAAATTGCAAAGAAAATGGAAGGTCATTCAAAAATTGGAAGGTCGTCATAGGTCATTACAAAATTGGCAAAAATTCTCCCAATTTGAGTGTGATTCATTTGGTCCATTGCCGGATACCAGTGCCAAACCTTGGATCAAAGGAGGTTCAACGATCGTCAGAGGAACACTGGAAAGACGTCAAACAAAGATTCCAAACTCGCCGTAGCAAAGGGTTTCTCACTGTCACAAGTTTTTCTCTGTCGTTTTCTTTGAACGCGATTCCGAGCTCACCCGTTTGGCTTTGGAACAGCGCAAAGCCAGAGCGCGGAGCCGCAGCTGGAAGTGCATAGGGCAAGTTGTCCCGCAGATTGCTGACAGTCCTCTCAGCAGTACATATTCTTGCTGAGGCTCATATCGGTTCCACATGATTCCAAATTGTAGATTCCATTGCAATCTCAGGTCCAATGATGCACTTTGATGCAATTTTCAGTCTTTCCCCGGGGGTTTTCCAGTGTTTCTAATGGTTTCATGTTGCATCCGTTTCCCAAACAGTTCAGGTTTAGCCTCTGCGTTTCGAGGCGTTTCACCGCCGAGTCGACCTCCTCAAAGGACGGGCAATCCGATCCCAGCTGCCTTAGCTTGTCAGGCCTAGATCACCACACTCGACAATCTCGACATATTTTCAATTTGAGGAGAAATCTTGAGAGAAATCGACATTTCTCCCGTTCTTTTTTGTTCTCCACCTGCCAGGTGAGGGTTGTTAGATTTTATGTCAGTTGCCTCCTCCTGCCTCCTGCCTCGTCCTCCTTCTCCTCCTCCTCTCCTCCTCGTCCTCCTCGTCCTCCTTGTCATCCTTGTCGTCCTTGTCGTCTCGTCCTCCTGCTCAACTGCGACTCGCGATCCACAGTGTTCTCTGTCGGACCTCAACCACGACCATCCACGCCCAGTGTTCCCTGCCGGACCTCAACCACGACCATCCACGCCCAGTGTTCCCTGCCGGACCTCAACCGCGAGTATCCACGCCAAGTGTTCCCTGCAGGACCTCATGTAGGAAGATATGGGACAAAGAATGTGCAGAAGAAAGTTAGAAAGAATGTCAGAAAGAATGTCAGAAGATATGCCAGAAGATATGCCAGATAGAATGCAAAATAGAATGCCAGATAGAATGCCAGATAGAATGCCAGAAGATATGTCAGAATATATGCCAGAAGATATGCCAGATAGAATGCCAGATAGAATGCCAGAAGATTTGCCAGATAGAATGCCAGAAGATATGCCAGAAGATATGCCAGATAGATATGCCAAATAGAATGCCAGATAGAATGCCAGAACATTTGCCAGAAGATATGCCAGATAGAATGCCAGCTAGAATGCCAGAAGATATGCCAGAAGATTTGCCAGTAAGAAAATCTATACATGTCATGGTGGGGATCACACGAAGTAATGTAATTTTTTTGACCAGCAGTTGCAGTATAGATCCAAAGGGACAAAATGGATCAAACACGTCATACGTCAGACATTGAAACATTGAGGCGGCACCTCGAGAGATCCCCACATATCCCCTATCAATAGGGGTCCCAGGGAGTCATGGCACAAATGTCATGGCACAAATGTCATGATTTTCCCGTAGATAATCAAGCCATGAACACTTCCGGTTTTTGGTGGAGTTGTCGAGTTGTCGACTCCCAGGACGTCAAAGTCATGGGCTCTGGCGGCTCATCTCAGGCCCTCCACAAGAGCTTCTGAGTGGCAGAGCTGATTCACACAATCATTTTATTGTCTGTACATGTCTGTACATGTCTGTACATATCTGTACTATTCTGTAGTATTTTTTGAGCCAGTGCCTTTGCATCCTTTGCCTCGTCTCCCACTTTGAGTTGTCGCTTGTGTCCCCGTGCTGCGTATTTGTGGTGTGGTTGCACCATGTTGCACCTCAGCCGTACAACATTTTGACCTACATGGCGAGGCAGCCAAACGTGCTGTGTCAGCAAATACTGCTGAGGTGCACACGGGTATCGTGGGCAGAGTGACGTGGGCCGTTTGTTTGTTCATTTGGAGTTCATGTAGATTAAGATCCAGCAACTGCTGTTTCAACAGGTTCAAGTTCGACTGGTTGAAGAAATGGCCAAAGTAAGCCAAGTAAGCTGTTCGTTTTCAAGACGAAAGTAACATTTGGTCATTTTTGCATTTGTTTCATGTCAAACTTTAATTTTTTTGGCGTTCAGCTCGAGGTTTGGACATGGCGAGATTTGCTCATGGCGTGATGTTGACAGTTTCTTCAAAGAGATGAGGTTGTCACTCTGCGCGTTTTCGCAGGCGGACCAAACAGAAGGATGTCGCAGTCTTAGGCTTTCGAAATCAACCTCGGACGTTTGTTGTTGAACTTTTTTTTTGGCTGGAAGGTTTGCTGAACATGGCATGATCTATGGATCTATTTGGTGTTTTTGGCTCTGTGTTTTGATTGTATTTCAATAGTTGAGTTGCATGTGCACCGGCCCAAACTCCACCCTTCGTATTACCTATTGAGTGATGGATGCAACGTTATTGTCCGATTCCTGTGGTTGATTTCCCATTCACATCAATAAATTTCCAAATCATCTGTCGATTCAGAAGAATCTCTGGTGTCAAACTACGGCGGAATCAAGTCGCACTGCTGATGTTTGCAAAGTGTCTTCATTCAGCCTCAGCTTATGCATTTTCTGAGGGAGTGGCATTATGCCGACCGCCCAGGAGCTTGGTGTCATAAAACATGTTGACATTTGCTAGACATGTTCGTGAAGCCGTATGGTTGACAGGAGCACACCAGCCCGGAAGTTGGGAGGCTTAGGAAAACGTGAGGGGCTGGAAGCGTGTCGCATGGTGCTGGCACTTTTGATAAGGTCTTCACTAGCTTGCTTGGCTTCGAGGTTCTCACACTGCACGCAGCAAGGTTGTTGGTTTGGAGTTTTTTGCCACCAGAAGAATTCAAATTCTGCACCAGATTTGGGAATAGAGAACCATATTCCAAGCTCACCTTTCGTGGTTTCCGCTATTTCTGTACGGGCGGTCAGTGGTTGCAAACGCATCTTCCTCAGACTCTGATGTTGAGCCTGCCATCTCTCGTATTCCTACCCTCCCTGTGTGTCTTTGGGCTGACCGAGATGGACCCTCAGTGGGGGGACGCCAACTTCGCCGAGGTCCACAGCAAGCTGTACGACGAAATCATGAGTTCCATCCAGCTGGTCTTCGGGCACTTCAGCGATGGAGTTCGAGGACTTCCGGCGGAACGCCTCGGGCAGGCCATGCGGATCCTGGGGATGAACCCCACGGAGGATCAGGATCTTTGGCCGCAGATAGGGCTTTTGGGTTTTAAGGAAATCGCACCTCCCTGTGACAGTTTGGTCATGTTTGGTCTGTTGAACTGTCCCTTTGGGTTTTGAGCTTCCGCAAGGTCTACAAACACTTGGCAGATCTTGGTCGCCCATACATCGACCAAGCGACGTTTCACCGTTTCATCCAGGACCGTCGGACGGTTCGGGTATGGTCCAATTCACTTGATTCTTCGTGAAGTTGATGTTTCATTCCTGTGAGTTGAACAGTGTGCCTTGAGAATGCTTGATGTTCCTGTCGTTTCACCGATTCTCTTTCAGCTTTGCAAGCTGCAGCACGGCACAGGACGAATTGACAAAGTATCTCGAACAGGTTCAGGCCAAATGACGACAGCCAAATTGATTGCCTTTGCTCCTGGGCCAAACTGTAATGACTCCTTGAGATCTAAAGCTGCCAAATTTTTGCGGATTTCAGAGACTACTGGTATGTGCTGCTTGTGAGATGCGCAGGCTGTGGTTGACTATTTGAAGCAATATGATACGGACAACAAGGGCGCCTTGTCCACTGAAGAAGTTCAAGCAGCGATCAGAGGCGTGGTGAGATCAGAAGTGTCAGGAAAAGATTTCCATCGGATGTATTCCGGGATGTATCGAATGATGGAATTTTGAGAGAGCGAATGAATGATGCTAGGTTGATTGGTTGATGCCCCGGTGCTTTGGATTTTATACATGGTTGACATATATTTGACATATTTTGACATTATATTGTTTTATGGACTCTTTCAGTACAGTGGGTTGAAATCGGACATTTTGCGTCCAGGAAGTGAGCTGAGCCAGAAGAAGCTCCAGGCTTGCTGGGGAATCAGAACTTGCAGCAACTGCAGTAGCGAGGGTCTGCAACTGGAACGCCAAAGCAACAACCGAAATCACTTTTCACTTGTTCAGTGACGCACTTGTTTTTGGTTGTAGTTCAGTGTTTTTCAGTCCCTTTATTAAGGGAAAGGAGATGTGTCTTAGTCTTTCTTCAGAAGCTGAAGAGAATCCGGCCTTGCGTTCACCACGATTTCTTCTCACCAGCGACTCGCAGAGTCCTAGACAGCTTGGGATTCCGCCGGGTCGCGAGGCAAGTGTCGCAAAGATGCCAAGCAACAGCCACCCGGATGCAAGCTACAAGCTGACGGTTAGCCGGTTAGCCAAAGTGTTTGATGGAACCAGGATCCACATCCGTTCACCACATCTTCCCAAGTTGCCAAGTCATGAAGTGCACAATTCCGATCTGGTCGATTGGGTATCACGGTATCACCAAAAAGATGGATGGTGAATCGGTGAATGTTAAAAAATGATTCAAACTCATGGCTTTTCTGGGGCTTGGATTCGAGCCTTACCCATTTTCCAAGAGGACCCCAGTTCGTTTTGACGGAGGTAAAGGTCAGCTGGATATTGTGGAGCTGGCAACGTGTTTTCTGGAGCTGAGTGATGAGACGGCTCTCGGTACATTACCCTTGTCATCCCTTGTCTACATCACACGAACAGAAATCGGTTTCTTTGGGATCTTCAATTTTATTGGTCGACTGAGAGCATATCTTATTGGGGCTCATGTGGCTGGTCTTGTCATCCCTTGAGCCGCAGGAAATGCTTGAGCCATCGGAGGCAGCCATGGCAGCCATTGGGGGAATCGCCGGTGGGAATTGACTTACGATATCCTACGATGGCTATCGAAATCTATACGTATTTTGTGACAAAATCAAAACATAGTGCTTCATTTCCTTCATTTCTTTCTTGCATTGAGTTTAGATTCAGGAGGACAGCCTGATGTACACCGGGAACGGCAAAGCAACAAACAGAATTCATTTTCTCCACTTGTATAGCGAAATATGTGTTTTTGGCTTTCGCAGTAGTTCACCGTTTTCCAATTTTCTTCTCATGAATCGATCTTAAGGAGATGTTCGCACGTGTATTTCTTCAGACAGCATAGACATTGGGAACATACTTCATGAATCCCCATTGAAATTTCCAACCTTGTAGGGGGTCACTCAAGTGACCCCATTTTTTAGACAGAAAATGCTTGAACAGTCATTTTCCCTACATTTCCCGGGGAAAGTCGGAAAGGTCCTTCATGATTTTATATGTAAATGTATCTGACCATTTTCTAGAGAGATAAGGATAGATAAGGGCTGAAAAAAAAATAAAATCAATCGAACTCTTGTCCGAATGCTTCCTGGGTCATTCCTGGGGAATGCTTAAAAAGCCCCATGCCCAGGGCCAAGTTCATCCTTCCATATCAAGTCATTTTCTAGACAGCTGCTAGATTGATATCAAGAGACAAATTGATTGTGCAATGCATTTTCTAGACCTCTATTGGGGCGCCCCAAAGCATCACAAAATAGATCCAAATTCATCTAGGTTTTTCTGAAATGTGACAAGATGCGTTTCAATGTTCTATTCCAAAAGTGTGAAGAATGAACTTCAGGATTCAGTCAAGTGTGCCAAAAAATTTGAAGTGCCAAGAAAAGATGTCTTTTCAGTGAGGCACGAGCCAAACAGAAAAAATATCCCCATTGAAATTTCCCAGAAGAGCATGGGTGAACTCAAGTTCACCCATTCTCTAGCTAGAAACTGCCCGCCCAGTCAATTTTCCCACATTTCCTGGGGAAGTTCGAAAAGGTCCTTAATAATTTTATATGTAACTGTGCCTGACCATTTTCTAGAGAGATAAGGGCTGGAAGAAAAAAAACAATCGAACTCTTGTCCGAATGCTTCCTGGGTCATTCCTGGGGAATGCTTAAAAAACCCCATACCCAGGGCCAAGTTCATCCTTCCATATCAAGTTATTTTCTAGACAGTTGCTAGATTGATATCAAGAGTCAAGAGCCAAATTGATTGCGCCATGCGTTTTCTAGACGATTTCGGGTATCCAGAAAACAGATATAAATTGACCATAATTTATCGAGATTTTGTTGAAATGTCATGTGATGATATATTTTTTGAACTTTCTATTCCAAAATTGTGCAGACGGAACTTCAGGGTGCACTCGAAAGTGCCAAAATATTGAAGTGCCGCTGCCAATGTGCAATATTGTTTGAATGAAGTGTAAGCCAAACAGAGACATTAGTATTTTGGGAAACCCTTGGCTCATTTAATTTTTGCCTAGAAAATGCCTGAACATGAAAGGGTCGATGACATCATTGTTTGGGGGGATTCCTTGGATCATGTTTTTTTGAAGTGGATTTTTAGTTCCTGGGGGACTAATTTGAGGTTTTCTGGGGTTCCCTGGGGAATATAGGGTGCCGGTTTCAGGAAGGGTTAGGCAATTCATTTTCTAGGGAAAACATGATTTATTTTGGGTCTTGGATTTTGACACACATTTCTTTGGTTTTTTGACTGGTGCAGCTTCATGCTATTCCTGATATGTTCTAGAGAACAAGTCGTGAGTTGATGATGAGTTGCACTTCCATGTGCCTATTTTCTTGAAAATTTGCACGTGTAGAACAGGCATAAACATTTCTAGAAAATGATTAGAACAGGCCCCTAAGAACATCGATCTTTATCGTTTTTTTCTCGTTTTCCAGGCTTGTGACTTGTGACTGTTCCGTTAATTTGTCTCGCACATGAGGATCATTTGAGCTACCCCCCAAATGGCAAGTTTTTTTTTTTTACCAAGGCATATTGAATCATTTTGTAGAAAAAATGTTGTTTAACAGCTGCATTTTCTTGAAACGTTTGGCAAGACATGGCAACACACATGTTGAACCGGAAAAAATGCAGAGACCGTGGCCAACCTTGTTTTTATCAACCAATCTTCAACAAGTTTTGGGCAGAGGAATACATCACTTACGATGGCATTCGATTACAGGTCAGTTTCTGGATTTTTTGGTGGCAGAAATGACTCAATTTGATGTTTTCTGGTGATTCCTGGGGAATATGGATTACCTGGTTTGGCAAGGATTACACAATTCATTTTCTAAAGAAAGCATTGTTTATTTTTGGTCCTCCATTTTTGAATCTTTTTTTAGGGAACAGTTTTTATTGTTCTTATGATGGCATTACAGGTCATTTTCTAGACCCAAAGTGGTGAATTGTACTCTCATGCATCTGTTTGTTTAAAAAATGCATGTCCAAAACATCCATGCACCCCTGTAGAAAATGAATAGTCCAATCAAATAAAACGTCCAATTTTACCTGTTTTTTTTTCATTTTCTAGGCTTTTGATTGGGTCAGAACTTTTCTGGCGAGAAAATGAGGGTCACTTGAGTTCACCCTGAAATGTCAATAGGGATAAATATGTGGTCAGCCCAAATCATTCGTTGAAATTCAAGTTCTTCATGGACTTGACAAAAGTAGAGACCTTGATCAATCTTGATCAACCAATCTTGGAAAATTTTGGGAGAGAAAAAAAATCACTCGCTTTGTTGGCGCTGGATTGCAGGCTGAATTTTTGGATTAAATTTTTGGCACTAAATTTGGGTTAAATGACTGTTTTTTTGGTGATTCCTGGGGAATATGGATTACCTGTCTTAGTAAGGATTGCACAATTCATTTTCTAGAGAAAACATTGTTCATTTCTGGTCGTCCATTTTTGAAACCATTTTTTTGGGGAACATGTTTTATTGTTCTTATGATGGCATTACAAGTCATTTTCTAGACCCAAAGTGGTGAATTGTACTCTCATGCACCTGTTTGTTTAAAAACATAGATGTCCAAAACATCCATACATCCCTCTAGAAAATGAATTGCCCAATAAAAAAAACGTCCAATTTTACTTGGTCTTTTCATTTTCTAGGCTTTTGACTGGGTCAGAGATTTTCTGTCTAGAAAATGGGGTCACTTGAGTGACCCCCCCCAAAGTCAATAGGGATCTTCATGATGTGTTCAGGTCATGGCAGAATTGTTCTCATGCGGGCACTCTTAGCCCAGGTGATTCAACCTTCAACCAGAAACAACCAGATGTCAATTCGAATAAAGGCACCAGACTATCTTAAGCAAGACTGTGTAAGCGCCACTTCTGGTTGTGGCCGACAAAAACATGTAGCAGTGGACCTGGTGTGGTTTGGAAATGGAAACATGTAGCAGAGGAGCAGCAAGACCTTACTTTTTCTCAGCACGTAGTTTCAAGGCCTGACAAGTCAGTTGCAAGGCAGAGAAAGAGAGAGCATCTGCGAGTGAAGCAGATAGCAAAGCAGTCGAAATTCAGGCATGAATGGCCAGGGGCTAGAGCTTTGTTGCTTTAGACTTCTGCACGTTTCATTCAAGATAACATTGAGCTCAGCTTGAATCTCAAAATTGCAGTCACTTGCGGCCATGTGAGACACTTTACCATATATAGATTATAGACACTTCTTTCACTATCAAAGCAAGCACATTTGGCACATGTCCACATGCTGAGTTTAGCCTTTTCTCCGTTCACTGGACCAAAACAGTGGATGTGACTGCGCTGCAAGGTGGTCAAAGATGATGTATCAGCTGATGCCGAGGCACATGCGGGAGCTGGAGGATTTGAAGCTTTGGTGCTTTGAGCTTCTAATTCTACAGTAGCCGTTGGCTGGTCATGCTGCAGCCAATTGTTTTTGGGCAGTTTGGCCAAAGTTGATAATTGAATTCCGTGCAGTTGGGCGGTCTCTCAAAAAGGGGTTCCTTCTTTTGGTGGAAGACAGGAGAGCGCCAGTGGCCCTGCAGTTTGGAGGCTCAGGAGTGGGACTACTGACTACTGAGTACTAGGTCGCGACTGATACCTGAGATACAGAATACCCAGCTGGATGGGGACCCGGCTTTCCGGTAGAAGAATGAGCAAATCTGTTCTTGCTCAGAGGCTTTTCTCATGAAAAGATTCAGATCCGTCGGTTCTGATAGATGTTCAATGCTTCTTACTGATTTCAAGGCAGGTGCAAAGTTTTGCGACAAAACAGCAATGTATTTCTCGGAGGGTTCAATTGCTGAAGAAAGAAGGAATCTACAAAGTCATGAAGTGGAAAACTCTGATCTGCGGTTCTGGCATCGAGTGTAGTAGGATTCAATGATGTGAACATATATGAACACAGTTTTTTTCCCGACACCTCCCACTCTGGTTGACCTGAAGACCTGTCAGTGTTTTCAATCAAAGTGTTTTGAATTACACATGTTCTCCAGCAAGAAATGAGCAGCCCCCAGATGCGCCTCTGGGATCGATTTGCCAAGGCTTACAGCACGATGTTCAGCGATGTCATCGCTTCCACGAACGCGGTCTTCAGATATTTCTCCCAGCCTTCTGGAGTTCCCACGGAACGACTTGGACATGCCATGGCTATTCTTGGGATGAACCCCACGGAAGATGAGGTTCTTTGACGGCAATGCTGTTGTGTAATAGCCTTGAGACTGTTGAGACTATTGCTTCCCTCTCGTGTCAATGTTCATAAACTGTTGAAGTGTTTCTATCATGTCTATCTCCCTGCTTTTGCAATGAGGTCAAAAAGCATTTGGCAGGTCTCGGAGGTCCAAAATACATTGACCAAAAGATGTTTCACCGTTTCATAGAGGACTGAGATGAACCGTGCTTGATGAAGTTTTATGTACTGCATGTATCTGCATGTGAGAAGTCTGAAGTGTGCTTCATGTGGCTCTTGCAAATGTTTCAGAAGTGAAGCAACTCTTTTTGGGTGTCTTAAAGGCTCAAAGGACTCAAAGATCCAACCAGGGCAGAAGTTGTTGAAAGTCTTGGTGAAATCCCACAGAATCTCCACTGGATATGCACTGGGATCAGATCCTTGGATTTCTAGCCCGCAAGCTGCATCAAACTGCCATGCAGGAGGAATTGGGAAAGCTGATTCCGAAAGTTCAGGCTAACCTGACGACCCATGAGGGATGCACCAAGCTTGCTGTCATTTGTTAAGATTTGACATGGTTCAACTCACTCCTTGTCAATATGTGCAATTTGGAGATGGTCTCTGCAATTTGCACGTTGCGCAGGAATTGCTCGACTATCTAAAGCAGTTCGACACGGACGGTAAAGGCGCATTGTCAGAGGAAGAGCTGCAAGAAGTGATGAGAGGCAGGATCAGACGGGCTTGGAACAGCCGAAAAGGTTGGGGGAGAGGGGATCAACGGATGCCTGGCTGCCTGATGAAGTCTGTTTGCACATCGAAGCCACGTCCTGTCAGGGAGCAACAGGTCATTCAGGTGGAGCCAGCATGCAGAGACTCCCAAACCATACCAAACAAGAGTAGAAACAAGAAGAAGCACATAGAAACATATAGACATATTTGTGATGTTTTTGACCCAAGCTAAACCTCTGCAGAAATCCGAAAACATCCATTGTAAGAATCTGTAATACGGGTCTAATTACTTGTTGGTGTGTCTATGCTAGGACCCGCAGGTTGACATTTTAAGACGTTGGCGTCGCAGGAAGTGAGCTGAACCAGGACAAAGTCCAGGCCAGGTGGGAGCTGCACGATGGAATTTGGAGGATTTGGAGGTTGTCATTCTTTAAAGTTTGTCACGAAACTGCAAAGCCAATCCGTTTAGACACGGCTTTACCACCTGTCTTTCAATAGTCCATACGGTTACCATATCCTTTCCCTACAAGAACCAACTGTGACATCCTGTGAACGTTCCGTGTATTCAGCTGAGCCTTGAACGGTTGGATGGTTGCCCGGCCAAGCCCTTCCAAATGGCCAGAGGCCAGTCTGCGGAAGCTGCCGAGGAACAGCGCCCTGCACGCAAGTAGACCCGCCAACCCATAGATGCCACAGATGCAGGTGCTTTTTTTTGGCGTTGAGCCGCTTGCAGCGGTCTTCGGAGGGTACATAGTAAACTGAGTAAACCATAGTGCGATTTCCAGACACATGTCAAGATATGTCAAGGAGACCAGGTGTTTTGCTCAGCGTAGCTGAGGTGAAGGTCACCTGGACATCGTGAAACTGTCCAAGTACTTCTTGGAGCCTGGCGACTCTCAGGCCCCGCAATGCTCCGCAGCTTCTCTGATGCTGTAACTGAGTCATGGACCATAAGGTTGACAATCTGCCACAGATTGACAATGTGCCGAGGTTTGACAACCGTAACCAGAGTTGAACATGTGGAAGAGAGAGAGAGATGTTCTTGTTCGTTTTTCTTTGTGGAAGAGAGCTGAGAGGCTGAGAGTATCAATGCTTCTTTGATATGGAACCTTGTCAGCGTTGGCGGCCTCGTCAGGTTGAAGCTGACGACTCGATTCCTGGTACAGCGAAAACTAGGCGGGCAGCAGTTGATGCTCAGGGCTCCCAGTTGTGGTACAGGTGCCTTACCTGTTTCAGGACATGTCGCATGTGGTTCAAACAAGCACAACCCAAAATCGACTGAGCAGGGAACCATTTCCCTTCTTGGCATGCGCTCGTATGAATCCAACCTTTCCCGGAGTCCAATGTCGATTTAGAGAGGCAAAGGCGAACAACCCATCCACGCAGTCGTGACCAGGCAGGATGTCGCCTCCCAGGTGCGAGAAGCGCGGGAGCTCAGCAGCGATGCTTCGAGCTTCCCTAGTTTTTGCACCGAGGGAGATATCACAAGGGAATCCATTGCACTTGTGGCCACCAGTTCATCTACATGCGCCTCGTAGTATTTGCATGTATTTGTATCATTATTCATTCAATTATTCCCACATTTATTGGTCTTGGAACCGTCTAATATCGGCATATTGGATGGGGATTGGTTGTCTCACAAATTCATTGATTGATCACCAGTTTGAATATTGTCAGCCCGAAGGCCATTGCCAACGCGGCCGACGCAGAAGCCTGGTTCCGAGTACCAAGTGGAGAAAATGTCATGAAGTTGGCACACGACCGGGGAAGAATTCTGTCCATGTATTTTCAGGCCAGCCTAAACAGATCTCAACAGTACACCCTATGCACTTGCTCAATTATTCCGGCACGATGTTAAGATGAGTATATTAGCAATTGTTTCTGTATCTTTTCTTTGAAGGATTTCCTCGTGTGGAGCCACTGAACTTGCCCAAGGCTCGATACGGCTTGAAAGATCCACAGGCTTTCGCCCAGTTCCTGCGAGATTCGGATGTTCGGTTGGTACGAGCCAAGTTTGACCCCCAGTCGTTGTTGCGGCTATGTGCTCCACGGTAAAGTTGTGCTCCGCAGTGCTGTGCAGTGCTGTACAGATTTGCATGTGGAAGTGCTCGATCATTGAATCCTTAGATAGATTGCAGCCAAAGCAGGACCAATGGTTATATACACGCAAAGAATTATGCTTTGTCTTCCTCGTCTTCTTGCTAGTGAAAATTCAAGCCAAAAAGGACAGAGCCAGTGATATTTCACATGAAGATGGCAAGTCAGATAGCTGAACAATTCAGCACGCGAGCCACAAATGTCAGCTTCAACCTACCTAGATGCCAGAAACTCATGACAAGAGTGTTTCCGTTCATGTCTGACATGAGACGTGATGCGCCAATGCACCCTTGCAGAAATCTGCGCTGAGGTACTTGGTAGACTTGGTTCTCTCCAAACGGCCGTTGCCGAGACGGCAAGAAGCTGAAACCGAGACCTTCACGTGCGGCGGCGAGCGTCAGAGTGCGTTGGTGACGCACGAAGAAGTGCAAAATTGGGCTAATGGGACCCAGGAGGCAATCATTTGTTCCATTTCCCACGCCTGGGAAACCCGGGAACATCCAGATCCGTGTCGGCACCAATTGCAGCAGATCGTCAATCATACGGGATTGTACGGTGCTGCATTCAAAGCAGACATTTGGATCTTCTATGATTACAGCTCGCTCTTCCAATACGAAAGAACCACCTCACATGAAGAGAAGAGCTTTCGAAAGGCGATGAACAACATGCACCTCATGTATGCTCACGAATGCACTTTGACATTCAGGATCGAAACCCTTACTCCAGAGCATGTTTGGAACACCATGCTGGCTGATGAAGAAGCTGTTGTCCGAGTGTATGATGCAGGCAGCAAGACTCTGAAAGAGAAGCCCTTGAAGCTCTTGGAAGCCAACAGGACTCCATACTTACAGCGAGGGTGGTGTATGGCAGAAATCGAATGGTCATCTCTGAGAGGAGTGAATGCACAACATCAACACATCGACAGGCCCCAGGATCCGAAGGCTGAGACGCAGGAATCCGATCATCTCAATGGCAGAGTGCCTATGATCCCTGAGAATTTCAGGCAGCAAATGGAGCACGCAAAGTTCACCCATCGCTCGGATGCTGAAGCAGTGATCTATTTGCAACAAAAGATTTTCAGGGAGAAGGTGATCGAATGTCAACACTTGGTGTTAGAAGGCCTTCCGGCCCAAGAGATCTTGGCACTGGTGGATGCACTCCCACACTACGAAAATCTGAAGAGCTTGACGGTGAGGAGGTTTCAATGTGGTGAGGAAGAGGCAACGTCCCTAGTCAAGGCCCGAGACATGTCGGTATTAAAATGATTCCAACTGTGTGATCTTGCATGGAAAAAGTGCTGCCTTGTCCTCACAAAACCTGGCGCCATGCAGGCTTTGGCATTACGTCAAGTGGAGACGCTTGAAATCAGCCGGGGCATCGGTGAAAGTGACCGATTCATGGTGAAGGCAGCGGATTGTTTGATCATTGATCCACTTCCTTGATACGATTGCTTTCTCACCATACAACAAGAAAGGGCAAGTCGCTGAATTGCTGGGTGACCTCCTCTTGGAGTCATTTGAAGCATATCGCGGGTAGCTAGCTGGAGTTGCTTCTTGCGGTAGCAAGGGATGTCGGAGGCAGCGATTACCCCGGTTCCGCCCATTGAACACCCCTGGCTGATTGAGGCTTGATTTCCCACAAGACCACACCATCTATCAGCCATCATTTTGCACAAGCTAGAAGTAGTGCAACATGTTGCCTTGGAACATGGCTGGACCTGGGAACAGGAAACTCGCCTTCACACCGATCCAACTTGATGCATTCAGCTCAATCCAGCTCACTCCACCTCACTCTTTCCAACGCTCTCCACTAAACTCAAGTCATCTAACTCGGTCCACTGCACTCGATCAAACTCACTCCACTAAATTCACTCTATCCAACTCACTCACTCATTCTATCCAACTCTAGCAATCCAACGAACTCACTCTACCAAACTTCACCCGACTCACTCCGCCCTGCTCACTCACTCCAACTCACCACCTCACTAACTCCACTCAGAGCCACCTTCACTCCCTTGCCCATGTTCCCCTTGCATCTCGCTTCGCCAAGTCTCTTTACTCATTTTACTTGTTGCAGTTGCTGACCCGGATCTTTGATGTCTTGTGTTTCTTTCAGGCTCTCGCGGAAGCCTTGAAGACCAATAGCTCCTTGCGGAACATGAATTTGGCATATAACAAGATTGGTCCCGAGGGAGCTCAGGCCCAGCCTGTTTCAGATGTGTTGGGGCCTTTGGCTTAGACTCAACCCACATCAAGGCGTATCACAAGTATGATGATGTTCTCTCTGGGTAGATGTTGCTTTCTTGACTTCAGTTTGGTTGTTGGTGATGTGTCCAGGCCTAGTCTCTTTGGCATGCTTTCATTCGAAGCATTTCCAGATCAGCTTCAAGTGAGTGTCATGTCGATTCGTAGGTTGGTCTAGAGTCTAGGTTGGTCAGAGGCGAGCCAAGTCTCTTTACTTAATTTACTTGTTGCAGTTGCTGACCCGGATCTTTGATGTCTTGTGTTTCTTTCAGGCTCTCGCGGAAGCCTTGAAGACCAATAGCTCCTTGCGGAACATGAATTTGGCATATAACAAGATTGGTCCCGAGGGAGCTCAGGCCCGGCCTGTTTCCGATGTGTTGGGGCCTTTAGCTTAGACGTAACCCATATCAAGGGGTATCACAAGTATGATGATGTTCTCTCTGGGTAGATGTTGCTTGCTTGACTTCAGTTTGGTTGTTGGTGATGTGTCCAGGCCTAGTCTCTTTGACATGCTTTCATTCGAAGCACTTCCAGATCAGCTCCAAGTGAGTGTCATGTCGATTCGTAGGTTGGTCTAGGTTGGTCAGAGGCGAGCTCAGTCTCTTTACTCATTTTACTTGTTGCAGTTTCTGACCCGGATCTTTGATGTCTTGTGTTTCTTTCAGGCTCTCGCGGAAGCCTTGAAGATCAATAGCTCTGTGCGGGACATGAATTTGACAGGGAATGACATTGGTCCCGAGGGAGCTCAGGCCCGGCCTGTATCGTATGTGTTGGGCTCTTTGGCTTAGACTCAACCCACATCAAGGGGTATCACGAGTATGATGATGCTTTCTCTGGGCAAATGTAGCTTGCTTGATTTCAGTTTGGTTGTTGGTGATGTGTCCAGGCCTAGTCTCTTTGACATGCTTTCACTTGAACCATTGTCAGATCAGCTTCAAGTGAGTCATGTCGATTCGTAGGTTCGCCCAGTTTGCTCAGAGGTGAGCCAAGTCTTTTAAGTTCTGGCAGTTGCTGACCCGGAGCTTTGATGTCTTGTGTTTTTTTCAGGCTCTCGCGGAAGCCTTGAAGACCAATAGCTCCGTGCGGGGCATGAATTTGGAATATAACCGGATTGGTCCCGAGGGAGCTCAGGCCCGGCCTGTTTCCGATGTGTTGGGGCCTTTAGCTTAGACTCAACCCACATCAAGGGGTATCACAAGTATGATGATGTTCTCTCTGGGTAGATGTTGCTTGCTTGACTTCAGTTTGGTTGTTGGTGATGTGTCCAGGCCTAGTCTGTTTGACATGCTTTCATTCGAAGCATTTCCAGATCAGCTTCAAGTGAGTGTCATGTCGATTCGTAGGTTCGCCCAGTTTGCTCAGAGGTGAGCCACGTCTTTTCAGTTCTTGCAAATGCTGACCCGGATCTTTGATGTCTCGTGTTTCTTTCAGGTTTTCGCGGAAGCCTTGAAGACCAATAGCTCCGTGCGGGACGTGAATTTGGCACTGAACCAGATTGGTTCCGAGGGAGCTCAGGCCCGGCCTGTTTCAGATGTGTTGGGGCCTTTAGCTTAGACTCAGCCCACATCAAGGGGTATCACAAGTATGATGATGTTCTCTCTGGGTAGATGTTGCTTGCTTGACTTCAGTTTGGTTGTTGGTGATGTGTCCAGGCCTAGTCTCTTTGGCATGCTTTCATTCGAAGCATTTCCAGATCAGCTTCAAGTGAGTGTCATGTCGATTCGTAGGTTGGTCTAGAGTCTAGGTTGGTCAGAGGCGAGCCAAGTCTCTTTACTTAATTTACTTGTTGCAGTTGCTGACCCGGATCTTTGATGTCTTGTGTTTCTTTCAGGCTCTCGCAGAAGCCTTGAAGATCAATAGCTCCGTGCGGGACATGAAGTTGGAATGGAATGGCATCGGTCCCGAGGGAGCTCAGGCCCGGCCTGTATCGGATGTGTTGGGCTCTTTGGCTTAGACGTAGCCCATATCAAGGGGTATCCCAAGTATGATGATAATTTCTCTGGGTAGATGTAGCTTGCTGGATTTCAGTTTGGCTGTTGGTGATTTGTCCAGGCATAGCCTCTTTAGTATGCTTTCGTTCGAAGCATTTCCAGATGAGTGACATGTCGATTTGTAGGTTGGTCTAGGTTGGTCAGAGGCGAGCCAAGTCTCTGTACTCATTTTACTTGTTGCAGTTGCTGACCCGGATCTTTGATGTCTTGTGCTTCTTTCAGGCTCTCGCGGAAGCCTTGAAGATCAATAGCTCCGTGAGGGACATGAATTTGTTACAGAATGACATCGGTGACAAGGGAGCTCAGGCCTGGCATGTATCGGATGTGTTGGGCTCGTTGGCTTAGACTCAACACACATCAAGGGGTATCACAAGTATGATGATGCTTTCTCTGGGTAGATGTAGCTTGCTTGATTTCAGTTTGGTTGTCGGTGATGTGTCCAGGCCTAGTCTCTTTGACATGCTTTCACTTGAACATTTTCAGATCAGCTTTAAGATGCTTTAAGTGAGTCATCTTGATGCGTAGGTTCGCCCAGTTTGCTCAGAGGCGAGCCAAGTCTCTTTACTCATTTTACTTCTTGCAGTTGCTGACCCGGATCTTTGATGTCTTGTGTTTCTTTCAGGCTCTCGCGGAAGCCTTGAAGATCAATAGCTCCGTGCGGGACATGAAGTTGGAATGGAATGGCATCGGTCCCGAGGGAGCTCAGGCCTGGCCTGTATCGGATGTGTTGGGCTCTTTGGCTTAGATGTAGCCCATATCAAGGGGTATCCGAAGTATTATGATGTTTTCTCTGGGTAGATGTAGATTGCTTGATTTCAGTTTGGCTGTTGGTGATTTGTCCAGGCATAGCCTCATAGTATGCTTTCATTCGAAGCATTTCCAGATGAGTGACATGTCGATTTGTAGGTTGGTCTAGGTTGGTCAGAGGCGAGCCAAGTCTCTTTACTTATTTTACTTGTTGCAGTTGCTGACCCGGATCTTTGATGTCTTGTGTTTCTTTCAGGCTCTCGCGGAAGCCTTGAAGATCAATAGCTCCGTGCGGGACATGAAGTTGGAATCTAATGAGATTGGTGCCGAGGGAGCTCAGGCCTGGCCTGTATCGGATGTGTTGGGCTCGTTGGCTTAGACTCAGCCCACATCAAGGGGTATCCCAAGTATGATGATGTTTTCTCTGGGCAGATGTAGTTTGCTTGATTTCAGTTTTATTGTTGGTGATGTGTCCAGGCATAGCCTCTTTGACATGCTTTCATTCGAAGCATTTCCAGATCGGCTTCAAGTGAGTGTCATGTCGATTCGAAGGTTGGTCCAGGTTGCTCAGAGGTGAGCCAAGTTTTCGTACGTTTTGCACATAATGACCATAAATGACCATTGACGACTTGATGACAAATATGACCGAAGTGGAGTTGAGGTGTATGTTTTTTTTTGGGTGCTAGTGCAAAGCACAGCAGACTCAGAACCCACAGCGTCAATTTCTTGGCTGGCTCTCTGCCGGGCTAATCTACAGAGTGTCAAGTTGTCTCAGCATGCGGCCAAAGCTTCTCATATAAGCTCTCAGGGGCCTAGTGTGGATTGCTCTTTCACACTTGGGAACGTGCGTCTGATACAGCGAGCTTCGACTCGACCTTGGCTTCAGCCAGGCTCTTGCAGATGCTTTGCTTCAGACAGTCAGAGACACCTTGGCTGATGACTTGGACGACGGAGTCAAGGCCTGGGGCTCTGAGTAGCTTCATGCATCACCATGCGGAGGGGCTTGAGTTTTTCCCATCTTGTGCCGCTGCTTTGATATCCAACGTATATATTATATACTGTACACACATATTTTACTTATCTTGTGCAACTTTTCGAAAAGCTTGCCAAGTTTACCTGCGTGTCTTGTGGCATGCTCAACAGGAGAGTGCTGATCAAGTCCCCGGCAGACGCCCTTTTGAAGCACCGGTTCGTCTTGAGGCAGGTTTCCTGTGTTGCGGCGCAAGGTGACAACGTGCTCCTTCCAGAATGGACTTTGTACAGTACCATTGTTTCAATTCAGTTTTCCTCAAGGGCTTCTGCTAAATCGACTGGACAACCAACTGGGGCAGTTCTGCAGCGTTTTTTCTTTCTGTCAATCGAATCGACATAAGTTGGTTCACTGTTCCCACGCAACATTTCAGCCGGTGTGACATCGCTGAACAGTTCCAAGTACTGTTGTCGAACCGAGATTTTCAGGATACGCATTTGTTGATTCTCTGGACAGTTTTGGCCGCATGTGGTTTGCACTGAGTTAGACATGGGACGACCACTCTTGTTTAAATACTTGGCAATGATTGAATCGTATCCATTCTCGAACAGATTTCAGCCTAGACCTACTTCCATGTCGCTTTCCCTTTGGCCAGGGCCTAGCCAGAGATTTGAAGACGAACACTTCCGTGACAAGCATCAACCTGCTTTGCAGTTTCATCGACGTTGAGGGAGTGAAGGCCTTTTGTGTCCCGGGATTCCAAGTGGCTGCTCATGGTGTCTTTGTCGCCAGTTTGTTGAAAGGCTTTGTAGTTTGCTCATGCTCATCCTTCGCATTTCCAGTTTTCAAATTTAGTTGACTGTGAGTGAAGTGGGTGAATTGCTTTTTGACTTGAACTCATTCTGTGTGGTATGATGTGGTATGCTTTCTACTGGGATATTGGCATGATATTGGCTGGAAATGTATCTGAGTAAACGACATTTGCCCTGAATCCTAGATCCAGTGGGATTTGTTCTTTGGAAACTCGGAGTCGGAAACTGAGAGTTGTGTCTCACTTGTATTTCATGACGTCTCACAGATGTCAACCTTGATCTACTTCCAAGTCGCTTTCCCTTTGGCCAGGCACTAGCTGAAGCTTTGAAGACGAACGTTTCCGTGACACGCATCAAATTGTGGGGCAATTCCATCGGCGATGAGGGAGTGAAGGCCTTTTGTGTCCAGGGATTCCAAGTGGCTGCTCATGGTGTCTTTGTCGCCAGTTTGTTGAAAGGCTTTGTAGTTTGCTCATGCTCATCCTTCGCATTTCCACTTTCCAAATCTGGTTGACTGTCAATGAAGTGGGTGAATTTCATTTTGACTTGAACTCATTCTGTGTGGTATTATGATCTGTCGTCAAACGGAAGTTGGTAAGCAATATTCCGTGTTACGGACAAATAGAATTTCTGAGACTTGAAATGCTGAGGGTTGGTGCGCGATTGAGATTGACCTTGATGAAGGTGGGTGGAGATTACATGAACATGGACAGAAGAATACATCACAAAGGGATTGACCTTGATGAAGGGTGGTGTGAGACTTTACATGACAGTGGTGACGAAGGGAGGTGGGGACGATGGGAAGTGTTGAGGAAGGGAAGTGGTGACGAAGGGAAGTGGTTACGATGGGAAGTGGCGAGGAAGGGAAGTGTTGAGGAAGGGAAGTGGTGACGAAGGGAAGTGGTGACGATGGGAAGTGGCGAGGAAGGGAAGTGGTGAGGAGGGGAAGTGGTGGGAAGTGGTGGTGTGAGACTTTACATGACATAACAATACATCCACCAAGGGATTGACCTTGATGAAGGGTGGTGTGAGACTTTACATGACAGTGGTGACGAAGGGAGGTGGAGACGATGGGAAGTGTTGAGGAAGGGAAGTGGTGACGAAGGGAAGTGGTTACGATGGGAAGTGGCGAGGAAGGGAAGTGTTGAGGAAGGGAAGTGGTGCCGAAGGGAAGTGGTTACGATGGGAAGTGGCGAGGAAGGGAAGTGATCACGAAGGGAAGTGGTGACAAAGGGAAGTGGTGACGATGGGAAGTGGTGACGATGGGAAGTGTTGAGGAAGGGAAGTGGTGACGAAGGGAAGTGGTTACGATGGGAAGTGGCGAGGAAGGGAAGTGTTGAGGAAGGGAAGTGGTGATGAAGGGAAGTGGTTACGATGGGAAGTGGCGAGGAAGGGAAGTGGTGAGGAGGGGAAGTGGTGACAAAGGGAAGTGGTGACGATGGGAAGTGGTGACGATGGGAAGTGGTGACAAAGGGAAGTGGTGACGCATGCATGTTGCATGGGCTATGTTTTGGGGAGGAAGCCGGAGCACGAAACAGTGTTTTTTTCCGTGTAAAGTGGCTGCAGCCGGCGATGAAAGGTACCTCATCTGTGCGGCGGTTGCGGCTGCGGTCGTTCTGGACGCGATTGGTTCCTTCTATGTGTTTTGCAACAACTGGTTGTTCCTGTGGCGTAGTTCTATGCGTTTCCTGAAGCTGTGGTTGCAGATCGCATTGTAATGGCTGCATGAATGTTGCACGGGCTATGTTTTGGGGAGGAAGCCGGAGCACGAAACCTTGTGTTTTTCCGTGTAAAGTGGCTGCAGGCGACGATGAAAGGTACCTCGTGTGTGTGCGGCGGTTGCGATTTGGATCGTTTCGAGTTCAATCGGTTCCTCCTCTGTGTTCTGCAACGAGTGGTTGTTCCTGTGTGCGTAGTTCTATGCGTTTCTTGAATCTGTGTTTGCAGATCGCATTGGAATGGCTGCATGATTGTTGTCACCTGGTGTTGCCATGTGCGTAGATGCATGCGGGTTAGCCACGTCATGCTGCAAAACGCAATGTAATGGCTGCATGAATGTTGCATGGGCTTTGTTTTGGGGAGGAAGCCGGAGCACGAAACCTTGTATTTTTCTGTGTAAAATGGCTTCAGCCGGCGATGAAAGATACCTCGTGTGTGCGGCGGTTGCGGTTTGGATCGTTTCGAGTTCAATCGGTTCCTCCTCTGTGTTCTGCAACGAGTGGTTGTTCCTGTGTGCGTAGTTCTATGCGTTTCTTGAACCTGTGGTTGCAGATCGCATTGGAACGGCTGCATGAATGTTGCATGGGCTTTGTTTTGGGGAGGAAGCCGGAGCACGAAACCTTGTATTTTTCTGTGTAAAGTGGCTTCAGCCGGCGATGAAGGGTACCTCGTGTGTGCGGCGGTTGCGGTTTGGATCGTTTCGAGTTCAATCGGTTCCTCCTCTGTGTTCTGCAACGAGTGGTTGTTCCTGTGTGCGTAGTTCTATGCGTTTCTTGAATCTGTGGTTGCAGATCGCATTGGAATGGCTGCATGATTGTTGTCACCTGGTGTTGCCATGTGCGTAGATGCATGCGGGTTAGCCACGTCATGCTGTAAAACGCAATGTAATGGCTGCATGAATGTTGCATGGGCTTTGTTTTGGGGAGGAAGCCGGAGCACGAAACCTTGTATTTTTCCGTGTAAAGTGGCTTCAGCCGGCGATGAAAGGTACCTCGTGTGTGCGGCGGTTGCGGTTTGGATCGTTTCGAGTTCAATCGGTTCCTCCTCTGTGTTGTGCAACGAGTGGTTGTTCCTGTGTGCGTAGTTCTATGCGTTTCTTGAATCTGTGGTTGCAGATCGCATTGGAATGGCTGCATGATTGTTGTCATCTGGTGTTGCCATGTGCGTAGATGCATGCGTTAGCCACGTCATGCTGTAAAACGCAATGGAATGGCTGCATGAATGTTGCAATTTTCCTTTAAAAAAATAAATAAAAAGTGCTTCAAAATCGTCCTTTTTCTGCTTTGGCGGCGAGATCCGGTCTTGGAGCTGCAGTTTCCGAGGCTGTTGTGCGTAGTTCTATTGTGTTTTGCAACTCAGTGTCTGCAGATCGCATTGTAGTGGATCAAGGTTGCTCGGTGCCGCGGCTGCATGCGTAATACTATTGTCTTTTGCAGCTGAACATCGTAAATCGTATTGGAGTGGCTGCATCCAGGCTGCGATAGTGATTTGTCATGAGATTTTCGCAATTTTGGTATAGTATTTTATCTTTTAAAAATCCTTTTAAAAAGTGCTTCAAAATCGTCTTTTTTCTGCTTTGGCGTCGAGATCCCGGTTTTGGAGGTGCAATTTCCGATACTGTTGCGCGTAGTTCTATTGTCTTTTGCAACTCAGTGTCTGCAGATCGCATTGTAGTGGCTGCGTCAAGGTTGCTCGGCGCCGCGGCTGCATGCGTAATACTATTGTCTTTTGCAACTGAACATCGTAAACCGTATTGGAGTGGCTGCATCCAGGCTGCGATAGTGATTTGTCATGAGATTTTCGCAATTTTGGTATAGCATTTTTTCTTTAAAAACTCCTTTTAAAAAGTCTTCAAAATCGCTTTTTTCTGCTTTGCGTCGAGATCCCGGTTTTGGAGGTGCAATTTCCGATACTGTTGCGCGTAGTTCTATTGTGTTTTGCAACTCAGTGTCTGCAGATCGCATTGTAGTGGCTGCGTCAAGATTGCTCGGTGCCGCGGCTGCATGCGTAATACTATTGTCTTTTGCAACTGAACATCGTAAATCGTATTGGAGTGGCTGCATCCAGGCTGCGATAATGATTTGTCATGAGATTTTCACAATTTTGCTATAGCATTTTTTCTTTTAAAAATCCTTTTAAAAAGTGCTTGCGCGGAACAAGACGATACCTTGGCAGAACAACGCTGCGTTGCCCTGACAGATGATGGTGTGCACGCTGCGGCCATGTTGTTGAGTGCTTACCGAGCAGGTGCAGGATGTCGTTTGTCGCAAGCAGATGCAGCTTGGGTCCGCAATGTCATTGCGGATAGTGAGAACTTCTTGCCTGATTTGCTTCGTGAAGTGCCATGACGGCCAACCAGGCTTCCAACGTGACAAGCTCTCCAGCCTTTCGTGCCAGTGCGGGCCGAAAAAGCTGCCAAAAGCCTAGACGACCAAGTGTAGCGCAGGGAAAAAAGCAGCTGTTGACCTTGGACTGCGTGAATCTCCTCGACAGGTAACAACTATGTATACACCATGTTTACACTTGCCGTTGCGATTTGATGCAATGCATCAACGCTTGGCATTAATGACCTCAATATTGTAAATAATTTGTGGTCTACGCCTTTTGGCATGTAGAAGAATCGACATGAGGCGTGCAGAAGCGCCGAGATAAGTTGAAAGTAGGTCCAACGCATGAGAAAGTTTGAGCTGCGGTCAGAT